GCACCACCCAGTGTCTTTGTACTGCTTGGAAAATGCTGCCTTTAAGCAGTACTTTTATTTTTGGAATCAAAGATTTTCTCATATCCTTTATAGCTTCTCAATAATTTCAAAATGAAAGCTCACTGTCCTGCTGTCTGTAACTCCAGGCTGAGGTTTGCTACACTCCAATACTTTCTCCATGCATTACTGATAACGTGGGCCTAATTGCTGCCCACAGTGAGACCCCTTCTGTCATATAATCAATATAAAGGTATCTTACAACTGATGCGTACTATGTTACAGCTTGAATATTCCTTAGACTGACAGGGTGGGGTAAGTCAATATAAAGGTATCTTACAACTGATGTGTACTATGTTACAGCTTAAATATTCCTTAGACTGACAGGGTGGGGTAAAAGGGCATTAACCTGAAGAAAATCTGGCTCTGGTTTCTTCTCTTGGGTCCTCCAGTATGGATTAAGGATGTTCTTTCACCTCCTTTTCTTCCTCTCACTACATGCTCTGCTTATGGGCATTTCATCTTACAAAAGAAAACCCTAAGCAGCAAGGAGGACCACCACTTTGTTCATAAAGATTTCTATTTTTCCTCAATACCTGTAGCCCCCAAGGTTTTTAAATCCTTTCTGGCTGATTTCAGCAGGGGGGTTCTCCTCTATAACCCAATTTTTCGTATAGCAGGTACTGTCTGGATATCTGAAGGGGCGACACTTTGGTGTGTAATGTTTGCAAAGCCACGTCTTCAGTATGTTTCAGGTAAGAAAATGGTACTATACAATAGAGTAAGGAGAATGTAAGGCTGATTATTTCTTTGGAGACAAAATGAGAGTCAAAAAATGTTGGAGGCTTACTTATACAGTGGCTGTCTTTGTTCCAGCAGTGTAAGATCATATAAAGGAAACAAATATGTACACTAGACAGCTTGAAGCAGGTTATTTCCTACCTTCTGGGTTTTACAGCTCTAAAATAGTCTCACTACAGTCCACTTAAAATTCCGGCACTTCAGGCTTTCTCATAAGGAAGCATTTTATTGCTCCGGGTGATTTTAATTCACTTGGGCAAAGTATTTTGCTCATCTGTCCTTCTCAGCAAAAGTCCAATGCATTCAGTAGAAAGCCAGGCCTCTGGACGTTTGGTTTCAGCAAAGGATTGCCAACTTGTTTCAGACTGCCAAATCGTACAGTAATGGCATTTCTTGTCCCAAATTGTGAGCTTCCTGTGTCACACAGGTGAGGCACAAATCAACCCTCCTGGCAAGAACTCTTGGGGACGCCCTGGTTTGGTGGAAGGAGATGGTGCCGTTGCCTGACCCACTTTTCACTTTGAGGAGAAAACATTGCCAGAGCTGCTGAGCAGTGGGAGATGAGCTGGAATATTTACCCTCACTGTCAGAAATACTTGATACACGATCCTGAGAAAGATAAATGATGCCCACGTATGCCTTCGGAACTGTCCATACCCTGAACGAAGAGCAGGTGGTATTTCCGTAGAGATTAAAGGGAAGTGGGTGATGAAGACTGAATACAGATATACACCTATCACAGTTTCCAGAAGCTCTATTCACAGCCAAAGAATCAATTTCAGTTGAATTTATCCATGTTAATTCCTACGTGTGAATTTAAAAATTCACGATGACACTTCCAGTTAGCATATATGGACATGTCTAATAGGATTGCTTCTAGAGATTGCTGAAATGGCCCCGTAACTTCACCTCAGTCTACACAATTATTTTCAAACATAACTGTGATTTGTATTCCAATTGATACTACATGTATTAAGTTTCTTAAGCTCTATACTTTTTGTACTTAGACTCTATTATATAAATCTTATTCAATATCTTTATCAATGATCTGGACAAGGGGATTGAGTGTTCCCTCAATAAGTTTGCATATTAATTGGCATATAGGCGATTTAACTGTTTTCTATCCACCGTTATTTCTGTATCTGCTGAGAACTGCTCCTTCATGAAGCTTAAAAGCCAGGCTCTAACCCTGCATCTTTACCTTAAACTGCAGGAGACATCTTATTTAAACTTTTACATTTTCTTCCAATAATTGGCCAATTTTGGTTCTGCATAGGACCAAGAGAGTCCTGCTCTGCAGGCCCTCTCCATATCCCAACCACCATAAACTTTTCTACCACCCTTGGTTTGTATAGTCCTACTGTCACCACAATGGAAGTGACCATTTCTCTGCCAATCTATCCTGATGGCCTTGGCAGCCTGAGAATGCATACCGAACCCAGGAGCAACTACCTAGAACAATGTATCATAGATCCTAATATCTATTCAACTACCTGTGTGCAAACTACCCAGTAAATAATGTATATTCGGTAATTTTTCCTTGAATCCGGAGAGTAGAAAATATTACAGATCAACTTCAATAATGGCTTTTACATTATAAAAGTGTGAATAATTTAGTTAATTGTATGGATGTGTTTACCCTTATAAATGGTATTATGACACACCATGGAGTTTGTCAGAAGCATTTGCGTTACCAAAATCACTTCTGTATGCCATGACGTGCATTGGCTTCCTAATAATGTGCCAATACTGGATTTAGATCTACATTGGATGTCCAAGCTGTCTAGTCACTCTGATTTGTGGAAGAGCTGTTGCTAAGAATTTTAAGAGGCTGTGAACCTGCTACAGCTAAGTCACAGAAAATAAAATAAAACCAAACCACTTAGCGATCTGGAAATTTCTTAACACCCACCATCAAATGGTCCTCCATGTAGGTAAACTATGCAATGGTGTTAGGGTCAGCCTTGGATGTGTAG